CCGGGCGAGGGACAGAAACGCTTCCCTCTCCCGCAGCGGGAACTAGGCTCGGCTCGGAACTGACCATTCACGCATCTCTGTGAAATCTGGAGGTTTTCAGTCAGTGATTTGCAGCAAAACGCCCCTGTTACCTTATCTGTTCCATCAGCCAGCGTGCTGCTTCGAACTGTATTTATCTGTGCCTGCTCACGTACTGAGGGTTGCACCCAGCCCTGTAACCATGGTGGCTGGCTGCTGGGCGCTGGGTGGGCTGCCTGGGACGGGGAGGTTTCGCTGCTGGGAGCTCTGCGCGAGGAGGAGCAGCTCTGCACAGGCTGGCTGGCCTGTCTGCTTTGTCGCCTTCTGCCTTTCAGCTCCTGTGCAAACCACAGGTCAAAATCGGAGCTGGCAGTGACGTTGCGTGTCACTGTCCGCGGGGCCTCGGTGCAGGACTTTTGTTTGGGGACTTTCCTAATCCTGACGTCTCGTACATGCAGCCAAGCGCTTTTGTTTAGCAGTTACTGACAGTGGAGGTGGAAGAACTGTAATACTTAATCCAGCTCCTTGTCAGCACAGGGTCATTCCTTGTCCTGGGGGTATATTACTGATGTGCCAGACAAAGATCTTTCTCTGAAATTCTCTGATGGAGCTCTCCTTGCTAAGGAACAGGCATTCCATTGTCTTTGTCCACAGACTTCATCTTGCACAACTTCAGGAGGAACGATCTGTGGAGAGAGAAGGGTTTACTCCTGTCCCTTATGCTCGGCTGTTAATTTAGAACTCCACATTTCCTGTGATTCACAGCTCGTCTCTTGACATCAGTGCAATTTCTGGTTGTGGAAAAACCAAGAGCAGTGTGCCTTTGAGCAGAAATTGAACCGCTAGTTAACTTTTCCCACATGGTGCTCTCATTAAGTGCAGTCTTTCATCAAGTGGTATTAACTGCCAGGCTGTTGATTTTGTGTTTGTTTGTTTTCCTGGCCTCTTGGTTGTTGGTTTGTGGTGGGTTTTTTTTTTCCTCCCCATGTATTTTGTGTTACGGCTCCTTTCATTCGGTTGATTTTGCTCTTAACTGTGGTTTTCATTTTAGCAGGAGTGTGTGGGGGCATTGATCAGTATTCTAGCAGCTGCAATTAATGTTGGGTGGAAAGTCTTCTCTAAAGTGCTGTTTCAGACTGACTATAACTGAAACAGCGCATTGATTTCCCCCGCCTCCCCTCCCCTTGGTTCACAGTTGGGAAGTCCGTAAGGGCTAGATTGTGTTTTCATTTAAAAAACAAAGCCTGCGGTCTGCTTTTCGATCACAACTTCCTCAGAAGGTCGAGACGGAGTCTGTTGGCCTGTTAGTTACCTCGGTTTTGGTAAAGTGGCAATAGGAAGCTTCTTTTGTCACCAGCCTTTTCCGTGTAGCATGTGAGCTCGGTGAGGTGAAACTGCAGATCTGTGTATACATGAAGGCAACTGTCCCTGCAAGCAAAGGTGTACATGATGTGAAGCCAGAATGATTTTCCTCTGTTCTAATAAAGCAGCTAAAAATGGCAGGTGTAGCTTTTTGCTGAAGCGATTACAACCTTCTTTGCAGCTTCCAGCATTCAGCTGAAACTTCAGCTGCAGGTTGCAGCATCCAGGGGAGTGTGTTCTTGGTGGGAGGGCCTGGCTGTGCCGTCGGGTGGAATGTGAGGCAGTCAAAAGCCTAGAAAATGTTAGAAAGGCAAAATTAATTAATCTGCTCTGTCTAGGGACAGTCCTGTGCCACTAGAGGGGAAAAAAAAAAAGTAGATGCTTTCACATGTTGAGCAAAATGAAACTTCTTTGTGAGGTTTTTTTAAGTCTTTATATCACTGTGTAGGACAACAAAACACAAACAGTGACTGATTAAAATTATGTTTGTGTGCATTGTCTGAACTGAAAGGGCAAAATAAAATGCAGAGAAGAGACCCTAAAAACTCATGCTTCTGTCATTTTTGTGCTGTCATTTACTTTTGCCTTGGTTCCCTAAGCCAAGGAACCCTCAGGCTGGGCTTGAGCCTACACCAGCTTTATCGTATCAAACTCTCAGTGGCTTGCTCAGCGTAGGTTTGTTGCGCTGTTTTAGGCATATAGCTGGAAGAGGAGTAGAGAATGACAGTGAAAAGCAGGACAACAGCATTTGTGTAGACTCTGGCGCTTTTTCAGAAACCTAAAGAGGCTGTTCTGGGAGCTGCTGCTCTGTGAACCATTTTATAGAATCCTGTGAAGCAGATAGATGCTGTGGACATCTGGGATTTATGCAACTGTGATGACTTGTCTTTGTTTTCAATTTTTATTCCAGAAGAGTTGCCATTACTGAAGATTCTTAATGCCAGATAATCAACCTACTGCCGAATAACCATGAAAGAGATGAGGTAGCTGCCCAAGCGTGAGATAAAAACTGATTTCAATGGATACAAAATATAAAGACGATTTATTTAGGAAGTATGTACAGTTCCATGAATGCAAACTGAATGCCTCTGACAACAAGCAGCGTCCTATTAATGATGAGTATTTGCGAGTGGCAGCAGCAGCCTTACTTTGCCTTCCCAAAATTGATCCCTTTTATAGATTCCGGTTGATAAAATTTTACGAGATGGCTGAAAACTCACTGAGATCTGTGAAATCCTCAAGTTTACATTCTCTCCGTAATGCATTCAGCATGCTCGAGACAGTTGGAATTAATCTCTTTCTTTACCCTTGGAAAAAGGAGTTCAAAAATATTAAGGTAAGACATTTTATGTGTGGCCATAATGAGAAAATAATTTATTTTTCTTTCTTTTAACACATTTCATGCATTTCCCATAAAGGCTACTTTTTTCCACCTGTTAGCACAATGTATATCTTTGTCTATGTACAGTTGGTAAACAGAAGCCATAGGAAGGTTTCTGTGTAAAATAAGTGAAGTTTTTGCTGGTGAGAGTATCCCGAGAGCAGAAGTACAAGTACTGTCTGCATTTATGGTCTAACCATAAAGTAGAGGAAGAGCTTATTTAAGGTTTTTGCTCAGCCTACCCTGCTACAGTGTCTTAATTTCTACTTGGAGATGCTTTCACTAGGGTGAGTGGTCAAGTTCTGTTTAAGGTCACTCGAAGTTTGATTTTTGTCTTGCAAAAGCTATTAGCAGAGCACACGTACTAACAACCAATGCGTGCTTTCAAGTGGATGCTTTGCTGAGATTCCCGCAAGTTATATGATAATGGTAAAGGAGCTTCTCTGAAAGAATTGTTTGCAGAATATCTGTTACCTGCTTTCCAGTTCTCAATTCATGACATTTTGATTTTAATATACTTTCAAATTATTTATCTATGCCAAGATCTCCAAGGGAAAAGTAGGAACTTGTATATTGCTCAGCTTGGGTGCTGGAAGTCAGATAGTGAGTTCTCTGCTGTTGATTTTTCTGTTTTGTCTTTTACCTGTTCTTATATGCTTGTTCAAAACTGCTGCAGCGTTTCAGAAATGAATGCTGCAGGTGACTTACAAGAAGTTTTGAGACTTGAAAGCTGAATGAAAACACTGCTGGTATAGGTGTGTAAAGTCATTTGCAGGTTATGTGCACTAGTGATGTGTATTTTTGCTTGTTTTTCTTAAAAAGACACTTTTTCACTATTTAGCAGAAATTTTGAACATTAGTAGAGCATTTGAGAGTTCTCTGTTTCCCCAAAGGGAAACTACGTTTCTTGAAGATCTCTCCATAATCTTTTTCTTTATTATGCTGAAGTTCTGGCCTTTGAAATGTTGGCTGATCTGTCGTGGATATCTCTTAATACCCTGTCAATATTGGCTTTGGTTGTGCGCTGTGGATCCAGTAACTGTTCTACACAAAGATGTGACGGGCAGGCTGCTCTTGCCCGCAATCCAAACCAGTTTGAACTGGGTTAAGAACATAACCTCAGGTATGCCAGATGCTAAGGATATTTCAACTCGCACAAACTCATATCTTCGCTTGGGGGCTTTTTTAGAGGAAGTTCTTAACCTAATATAAAATCAAATAAATCAGACATTTGAGATTGCATAGTAATGGCACACAAAAAAGTGCACACCACAAGTATATTTAAAGCTGAACTGAAGAGGATTTTGGTTCGCCCGCAGTAATTCCAAGTTCCTGTTATCTCCAGCTAGCCCCTGTCCAGGGGCAATACATGAAATCTCTGCCTTTTTGCCTTTCATGGTAGACTTGCTTGTAAACGCAAACATGTCTGGTATGCATAAAAGTTAATGTCAGTGTATAGCATAGTGGTTTAAATCAACAGGGAGGACATTATGCTAATCAGGATTTCAATTTGAATGAAAACTCTCCTACTTTGAATTTGCCTCATGCGGAATTTCCATCTGCTGAACAGGAGGGATGCAGAAATGGAGTTCATCTTGCCATGGGAGTTGCGTGTGTTCACTGTTGTTATGATTCTATTTAATATCTGCCACTGAATTATCTGAACATCTAGTCCACCACTGAATTTGTAACCTAGTTTTCCTTTTATTTCCTCCCCACCCCCCTTAGACCTACACTGGACCCTTTGTTTATTATGTAAAGTCTGCTCTAACTGAAGATGATGTAAGGCAGATTTTGAACTACATGGGCTATGTCCAAGAACTGGGAACAATGTATAAGCTCAAAGAGCAGGTTGATGCCATTCAGGTGAAAATGGTTTCATTTGAACTCTTTTTGGCCAAAGTGGAATGTGAGCAGCTTCTCGAAATTCACTTGCAAGTGAAGGATAAAGGTTATTCAGAGATTGATGTCATAAATGAAAGGAAAAATTGCAATGAAGATGTTAGAGGCTGCTCAGAAGCCATGAAACGGCGTGTGGAGTGCAAAGAAAACTTAAACACTTCGATGGCACGAATGGTACTCCAGAAATCAGCGAGCGAACGGGCCTCTAAAGATTATTTCAAGCCAAAGGTGAGCAAGCCTTCTAAATCAGTGGACACATATGATAATTATTGGGAAAGTAAGAAACCACCTTTGATGAGCTCACTGAGTCTCAGGAAAGAACCAATTCTAGTTGATGCGGAAGATGACATCAAAGATGAAATTATCCGTCCGTCACCCTCTCTTCTGACGATGTCAAGCTCCCCACACGGGTGCTCAGATGAATTCTTGCCAACTTCATCTCATCACAATGGCATGCTAAGAGCAAATGTCCCTTACAGCTCCTATTTTTCTGCTCAAGAGGACTTAGATTTATATACTGATCCCGATTCTAGAAGTATGTTAAATTTTAAAAGACAAGAAGCTATTAAGCCTGATGTATGGCTGTTAAGAAATGATGCCAACCCTGTTTACCACAAGCGTACCCACCTAGCCAAAGAGACAGCTTCCCTCAAGTGCCAAAACTGCGGTGTACCTTGTGGCACTTCTGTTTGCCAAAAGTGTGACAATCTGTTCAACTCTAGGCAAGAATATCCAGCAGTGAAACAGAGCACCTACTCAATCAAACCACTTCCAAATGATGGCTTGTCTCCTGTGTCTGCTTTAAGGGAGAAATCTCAGTACACATCACAGACTCAGAGTCAAGAGAGAGCTGCTCCATTCAGTTCAAAATCCAAACCTTCGGGCACCTCCCGCTGTGGCTTTTGTAACCGATCTGGAGCTGCAAACACTTGCACGTTTTGCTCCAAAGTCTCATGTGACACTTGCCTCAATGCTTACTATTACGATCCCTGCTGTAGGAAGAGCGAGCTTCACAGATTCATGCCTAACAATCAGTTAAACTATAAATCATCCCAGCTGTCCCATGTAGTGTATAGATAGACTTGATTAGTCTGTTTTGGAGGGGAAGGAAAGGGGGAGGGGAAAGGGCTATCCTCACTAATGTACTGACTCCACTGATAAGGAAATACACTGACCTCCTACCAAAATGACACGTCCAAATATTTGGAACCATGGTTCAGTGATCAGGTGCCAGTTCTTGATTTTTTTTGTGGCTTCACAGATGCTGCAGATACATCAGATTTCATGCTGCTATAATTTAGGTAACTCCTAAATGATCATTACTTTTCAATTTGAAGGGGGAGAAGAGCACATTTTTCTTTAAAACTTGGCAGCTGTTGCATTTTAGAAAAGTGACATCGCGCCTTTCTATTACATTACAGTCATCTCCTTGCCCAAATAAAACCATGCAAGGCTTGAAAATAAAATCTAAAGATTAAGATTCTCATTTTCTATGAGCGATGAAGCTACTGCCGGTTTTTGATACAGTATGACTTTAAAATGTGCAAGAAATACGTGAATGGCTTGTTTTGCCAACAAGGACTATTTTTTGAAGCGTGTCTGCATTTCTTGATCTCCGAAATGCAAACACCACAGCATCTCTTCCTTTCGTCTTTCTGTTTCGTCCTTCTCCCCTTATCTCCTGGTTGTTTCTCTCGAGCTTATATCATCTGAATCTGGACAATACGTGCTTTATTTTCTGGTGTTGCCAAGATCATGCTACTGGTTTTTACTGTATGGTATTTTAAAAAAGGTGAGCCTGTATTCACGTCACTTAAATTATGCCGAGAGTGTTGTCCTTCCAGATGAGTACTAATTTTCTTTACTTTCTGTTGCACATGTATTAAGTACTGTTCTTTGTACTGTAAATAGGTAATTTGGAAACAGTTTATTTTTAATAAATATTTAATATGTTGAGTTCTTAAAAGTGGTAAAATCATTATAACTATGAAGTCTCTCTGGGTTATTTGTTCAGGTGACTTTCTGTTTTTCCTTGTACTGTATTCCATAGCTTATTATAGTCACTGTGGCAGACTGATGTTCTTGGCTCTGATCAATTTTTCGTTTTTAATCTGTCATTTTTTTCCCTCTGATAAGGCCACCACTAGTCTAAGTGGAGTCTTGTCTAAGAATTGCAGGACTTTGGCTCTCAGTGCACGCTTTTCCTTTGTGGTTATGGAAATTGTAAGTATAAATGTTATGCTTGCTTCCAAATTCACTGCGAAGTCTGTAGTGTAGTCCAGCAAGTAAAGCACTGGCCTGGTTAAAAATCAGAGCTTATTTGTGACTCCTGTTAAAGTAAACCCATCAGTTATGGATGTGAATCAGATAATAATATTTGTCTGTAGCACACAGGAACCCTAGCCAAGAACCAGGACTCTGTTGTGCTAGGCTCTGTACAGTTTTGACCCCTAAACAACACCTGATTATGAATAGGCTTTAGTTTTTTTATGAAAAGGAAACCCACGAGATCCTTCTAACTTCCTTATTCCAACTAGCTAGTTAGAACAAAGTGTCAGGCAACCTAATCTGATGTGCAGAATTAAATGTGTTTAAAATATCTGTAAAGAACTCTAGCTGAGATGTAAACTATGTAGTCCACTTTGCACTAAAATTATTCACTTAGGGTTTTTTAAAACACTGTTAGAGTCTAGGCTTCTAGTAATATTTTAAAATAGCTAAAATAATTTTAGCCATAAATGGGTGTCAGAAGTATTATGGAAATAAGGTGAAACCTGAGTCTTACAGAGGGCTGAGAACAGTAAGTTACTGTACAGTTTGCACTAAGAAACAAAACGAATGGTGTGTGTTTAGCAATCAGGGAAATTTCTGAATCAAGCGACTGCAACTGAGTATAATGTTACAGGCAAGTATTGCCTTGCTGACCCTGAAGGTTGGGGTGAATATTGTTTAGGTGAATGC